AGTGTCCAATGTCCTTGTCTCAATGTCTTTTCTTCTTCTTTCAATCACTTTCTTTTTTCTTCCGATAACTTTCTTTCTCATAATGTCTTTTCTTCTTCTTTCAATCACTTTCTTCTTTCTTCCAATAACTTTCTTTCTCATATCTGACGCACACAAATGTGTCGTCTCTTTCGCTTGGTTCACACCGTTCCTCTTCGTGCACATAACTTCACTCAGTTTGTACAAAAGTCTGTGGTTTCTCTCCAGGGAAATGGAGGCCGGAGAAGTCTTCTTCGAGAGTTTTTGTTAGCTGCTGCAGCCGATGCTGCTGTTGTTGGTGCCCCCTGTGGGTCGGGGGAGACGCTGATGGTCCGTTTTGATGAAGCTCGGTTGTGGTTTGTGGCAGGGACAATTTTGGCGATCGGCCAATGAAACAGACAGAAGTTTTCTCAGAAAAAACAGACAAACAAGAAACACAAACAAGTGTGTTAATACAATACAAAACCAATGATTGATTACAAATCTAAATAAACCTATGAAATAATTAAAGCTGCACTAACTGACTTTATTTTCGTATTCATTACGAAAATGCTATCCATGTCCATGCAGTGCATTGGGATATACGTCCTTTTGAAGAATAATTAGCGCAGATTTGTGCTGGCGTGACATTATATTTTAGATCGAATTTTGATGAAACAAGGAAGAGAATGTGTTTCGGGTCGCAGATTGTGACCAATCACAGCGCACCACTAGCCCCCACTTTCGTGAGAAATCTACAGGTCCGTTAGCATAGACGGCTGAGTTAGCACAACAAGCCGAGGAGCTAACCTGAAGCTTCCTCGTCTTCGTCACCGGTTACTGCTTACACAGCGAGACAGCCATCCAAAAGAAAGTCTCGTTCCTCCGCGCTTCCCGGTTCTATCGTTCTATGGTCACGCCATCCACGTGCAAATCCATATCCATGTATTATCCATATTGGGAGACGCTAACTCCGTCCCAACAGTGGGTGTGTGTGGGGGCGATAGCTTCGTGGGTGCGGGGAGGGGAGCAGAAAGAGCGAGGCCAGCGAGTCCGCGGCTTCAAAATCCCAAAGTCAGTTAGTGCAGCTTTAATATTAACATTTTAAACATTAGATTCTGAAAACCCAATTCTGCATTCAACGGCTATCCTAAGCCCTATTTTTCCAAAAGTATAATGTTCTTTAAGATCATTTTAAATTTTATATCACCAAAATGTTGGGAAACATGTTTAATAACTTGTCTAGACCCCTTGGAGATGGCCAAAAAATAAAAATAATGCCTCTTTATAATCTAACTCAAAGTTCTGTGATCATATGACTCCATGACAGTAACATTATTGTGTGTATAAATGTAATTTTCTACAAAAAATATATTTGGTATGCTTCTTTCTTAACGGGAGAGAGAGCGAGAGCAGACAGAAAGAGGGAGGGGAGGGTTTGAGTGGCCTGTATGCATCAAGCATTTTCCTCGTTTTTTTTTTTTTCCCGTGAAAATGTTTTAATCAGTGGTGAGAGTTCTCTCACATCAAACGACACTTTACATTTTATCCTTAACTACGTCAGTAATGAAAACATTACCATTTGCCTACATGTACAATGTATCACTAGTTACAGCAGGATCTTTTTTTTTTTTTTTTCCGTAATACCTCTGTAACTATTAAAACATTACATCACAATACAAGAGAACTCCCAGAACTGATCCTTTTGTAATTTCTCCACATGAAACTCGCATCTTCAGCCAAGTGGCTCTCTTCTTTCTCATTAATAAGATCATTATTATTCAATAGTCAGAATCCAATAATTTAAATACTTGGCTTTTTTTTTTTTTTTTTTATTAAATGTACCCTTTTTCCGGCAATATCTTTGCTAGTGCGGACCTTGTCATATACTTAGGTATAGTCCTATTGTTCTGTATTTTTTCCCATGCCTTTACAGCCTTGTGTTTTGCCTTGTTTCTATGCTCTTTATCCAAACCACTCAAAATCTGAGCCTCTACCTCTTTGTAGAGCTGCTGGATCGGAATGCATGTTTCCATTTTTCGGGGAGGACAAAAATCCCCCAGGCTCTAATGGTTTAAACCTAACTTGTCTGTTGACGTGTCCGTCAACAACGCTAGTCACAGCGGGCTTTCCTGTTTCTAAAAGGCTCTCAAAAAATCTTTACTTTTAATGTATTCTCGCAGGGTTCTAACTACTTAGACTCCTATTTTATTTTATGTTAACGTATTTTCGCAAGGCTCTCACTACTTTTTAGGCTTTTACTATTTTTACTTTTATTGAATTATTTATTATTGAAAAACCAAATCTCCCCTTGATTTGGTTTAGTCCAATTTGCAGATTTTTAGTTAGTCAAAAGGTATCTGCTTACCTTCAGTTCAGCGGCCGCTTGAGGAGAGACGCAGAGTCCAGGGGGAGGTTGAAAGTCATCAAGGGATCACGTCGGGGTCACCATTTATCGTATTAAAAATGACGTGTTCAAAATCCCTTATAAAGATGACCAGGATTCAGAAAGTTAAATTCAAAAAAGTTTATTTCCCTAATACAAAAGAATCTAAACAGCGGCCCGGACCAAAAAATAACTATCCCTTATCCTCTATATAAAGTATAACATTGGTGGGCGCTCCACCCAGTTACACGGCTATCCCTGATCCGGACTAAAAACTAACACATCATGGGATCATTATCAAGTAAATGTGCAGGAAGAAGGGGCGTGTCGTATCAGCCAGCTCTGGTCCCGTATCCGGCCTTTTGTCCTCCGCATCTCCAGACCTAAAATGAGATTCATTTACACTCCCCAACCTATAGATTTATTACTTCCTTGAGATAAGGCAGGTGTCTCAAGGCTGCTGTCACTGCAAAGTCTGGCATCCATCTCCTTCTCTAAACAACTGAGTGGATTAACAGAATCTAGGAATGCAGATCTTCCTGGCCCCCCAGATTAACTATCATTAACTATTTCCTGCACTCTGGACTGCTAGATAAGAAGGGAAGACAAGGTCTTTTGGCTTAGAAAGAGACAGAGTTCAATCGGTCATCATTGTCACATCTGTTTAGTGTGTTCAGTGTATATCTAATACAACACCTTCCACATTGTCCTTGGATCATTCTCTTTAAAGTGTCCTTCTAGCCGCTCTCCATAGGACCGCTTAGCATGTTTGATAGAATGTTCTAGAGCATATCTGGACAGCTTGTAAACCACTGCATTGTCAGATTGAAAAGCTAATTCACGCTCATGGATTCTGCTTTTGACTTCTGAGGTCATCCATGGGTCTTAACCACAATGCTTTTTTATTATTTTAGGTGGAACACAGCAACAACTGGGGGCGACAGTAGCTCAGTTGGTAGAGCAGTGGCCTTTGAGCCTGGAGATCATGAGTTCGATTCCCACCATGGGACCTACTCCAACTGCTCCCACTTATGTATACTGTCGTTGTGTCCTTGGGCAAGACACTTAACCCTACGTTGCCTGAAGCCCCCGCTGAAAGACCAAGGCTGTTTCACCAATGACGGAGCAGCCATCTTCCTGTGGACTCACCCCCTGCAGAGGATCAGAGGGACTGGTGCTATGAGCATTGGGTGGCAGCTCTCATTGCCCCCCCCTGACCCAGAAATGGACAATAAAGGGCTTGAAAATGAATGAATGAATGAAGGGTTCACACGAGACGATTTTAAAATTGTCAGCCGATTTTTTTTTTCGTGTGAGACATCACACACGGAGATAAAAAAATTATGGGTCTTTGGTCGTACAGTGTGTGGTGCAGCCACACGGAAAGATCACACAAACCACACACATCACACACGAACCAATTTCACCCCCGAGCATTCACAGGTCAGACAGAAATCTCGGAAAATCTCGCGAGATCAAGCGTGACTTCAGAGTAAACAATCATGGCGGACGAAGAGGATGCAGTGGCGATATTTTGTTTTTTATCTGAGAAAAGACGTAATCAGAAGAAAAGGCGACGGTCAAAGAAGTGTAGACGACACGAGCTCGGACTGTACTCGCTTCATCCTGATCTGGAGGTGAGTTGTTTTTTTACGGTGTTTCCACACCACACACGGAAAATCCATCAGATTTATTGTTACGATATTCGAAGCGTTCTTACGATTGTCGTCGGGGTAAATCGGGTCCAAAATCGGCCTAATTATCCTGCCGTGTGAACCAGGCTTTAGTCAATGTATCCCATTACAGCATCACAGTATTCATCCACATTTTCCGAGTGGAAAACAGACCAGTCAGTGGCTTCAAAACAGCCCTGCAGCTTTAAGTTTGCGTCGTCTGACCAACACTGAATAGAACGAAAGGATGGTTTCTGTAGCTTGATGAAGCAGCACAGAAGAGTGGTCAGACCTCCCAAACTCTGGTCTGAGGTAAGTCTTTAAGGCCCCTTTGATTACTAAAGCAGAGATCCAGAAAGCGAGCACCCCTTGAAGGCACAGACACATGCTGGTGACAATTAGGGAGCGCTGATTTTAAGTTACATTTGTTGAAGCCCGCACGAGTCCTATTCATTTGACAAATGCCTTAAAATGTCTACAAAGAGGAAAGAAGACACCATACAAAAGCGTTGGATAATTCTCTTTTTTGGACATTTTTGAGCCGGGACCCACTGGTCCAGACCAAGCCCCGGTGATCCAAGATGGTGGCCTCTTTAAATCAGTGGAGCATGGGACCACCATGGGCACCGGACGATAAATGGAACTTGTCCATATTTGGGCCTTTCTCTGGTCCTCCCGGTTCTGTGCAGTGGACGACCTCCCATGATGCTTTGTGCCAAACACTAATGACTATGTGTGTGTATGGTTCTCATGCACGTGCACAGAGGAGCACCATATGTCATTTATTAAAACATTCCTGTCAAATGTCGAGCAGAGACTGTATTATTTTCTAGTGAAGTCTCCACTGGACCTGCCACATGTGCAGTGTATGGATGTGATGAAATGTAAACAATTATTTATTTTACTTACCATAAAATATTAAGACCAACAGAGCTTTGTGATCCATGTCTGATGACTCACCCTGCAGAGACCCAAAACCACAGACTCAGAGACCCAAAACCACAGACTCAGAGACCCAAAACCACAGACTCAGAGACCCAAAACCACAGACTCAGAGACCCAAAACCACAGACTCAGAGACCCAAAACCACAGACTCAGAGACCCAAAACCACAGACTCAGACACCCAAAACCACAGACTCAGAGACCCAAAACCACAGACTCAGAGACCCAAAACCACAGACTCAGACACCCAAAACCACAGACTCAGAGACCCAAAACCACAGACTCAGAGACCCAAAACCACAGACTCAGACACCCAAAACCACAGACTCAGAGACCCAAAACCACAGACTCAGACACCCAAAACCACAGACTCAGAGACCCAAAACCACAGACTCAGACACCCAAAACCACAGACTCAGAGACCCAAAACCACAGACTCAGAGACCCAAAACCACAGACTCAGAGACCCAAAACCACAGACTCAGAGACCCAAAACCACAGACTCAGAGACCCAAAACCACAGACTCAGAGACCCAAAACCACAGACTCAGAGACCCAAAACCACAGACTCAGAGACCCAAAACCACAGACTCAGAGACCCAAAACCACAGACTCAGACACCCAAAACCACAGACTCAGAGACCCAAAACCACAGACTCAGAGACCCAAAACCACAGACTCAGACACCCAAAACCACAGACTCAGAGACCCAAAACCACAGACTCAGAGACCCAAAACCACAGACTCAGAGACCCAAAACCACAGACTCAGAGACCCAAAACCACAGACTCAGACACCCAAAACCACAGACTCAGAGACCCAAAACCACAGACTCAGAGACCCAAAACCACAGACTCAGAGACCCAAAACCACAGACTCAGAGACCCAAAACCACAGACTCAGACACCCAAAACCACAGACTCAGAAACCCAAAACCACAGACTCAGAGACCCAAAACCTCAGACTCAGAGACCCAAAACCTCAGACTCAGAGACCCAAAACCACAGACTCAGAGACCCAAAACCACAGACTCAGAGACCCAAAACCACAGACTCAGACACCCAAAACCACAGACTCAGAGACCCAAAACCACAGACTCAGAGACCCAAAACCACAGACTCAGAGACCCAAAACCACAGACTCAGACACCCAAAACCACCAGACTCAGAGACCCAAAACCACAGACTCAGAGACCCAAAACCACAGACTCAGAGACCCAAAACCACAGACTCAGAGACCCAAAACCACAGACTCAGAGACCCAAAACCACAGACTCAGAGACCCAAAACACAGACTCAGGGACCCAAAACCACAGACTCAGAGACCCAAAACCACAGACTCAGACACCCAAAACCACAGACTCAGAGACCCAAAACCACAGACTCAGACACCCAAAACCACAGACTCAGAAACCCAAAACCACAGACTCAGAGACCCAAAACCACAGACTCAGACACCCAAAACCACAGACTCAGAGACCCAAAACCACAGACTCAGAGACCCAAAAACACAGACTCAGGGACCCAAAACCACAGACTCAGAGACCCAAAACCACAGACTCAGACACCCAAAACCACAGACTCAGAGACCCAAAACCACAGACTCAGAGACCCAAAACCACAGACTCAGACACCCAAAACCACAGACTCAGAAACCCAAAACCACAGACTCAGAGACCCAAAACCTCAGACTCAGAGACCCAAAACCTCAGACTCAACCAAACACTGCAGGACAATCTCCATCTGACAGAGTTATATTCAGTGTCACTTCACTGAGTGGTTCTTACCTGGCGGCTGTCGCTCTCAGAGTCTGGTCTCCAGACTTCAATATAAAGAATCTTTTAGATCCTCAGTCTCATTTACATATCGGAGTCAGTCTGTCTCACTGTTGTCATTTTGTGGTTGTTTTTGCATTTGCAAGACAAATTTAGGATGTTGGTCTTAATCTCATCAGACTCTGACATACTTCCTATAAAACAAGTGTGTTACTTTGTGTTTTTACGACTCCCTTGATCCAAATCCTCTCCTGAGCTCAGGTCTGCAGAGTTCCTCAGTCTCTGCTCCTTTTCATTAAGGTTCTTTTACAAACTTATGTTTTTATAAACAACAAAACAAACAAGATTCATTTTGAAAAATACTGTTGGAAAAAGAGGCGGACGAAGCAAATGCTTATTGGGCCACACAATACACACACACACACACACAACACAATCACACAAGACACACACACAATACACACAACACAATCACACACACACACACACACACACACACACACACACACACACACACACACACACACACACACACACACACACACAGTTGAATACAAACAACTGTTGATTCAGAGACAAACTTCTTAAAGAATCGTTAAGGTCTGGTCTAACGACTGAGAGACTAAATTATGTTTCAACAAAAAAAAGGGTGACACAGACTTTAAGAATGGCAAAAGCAAAGTTCTTTATAAAGGTGACAGATGATGTCAGAGGAAAGTGTAAACTTATCTGGGATATATTATAAGAGAACTTGAACTTAAATTTGATAAAGAATTGGTCTGTGATCTCGTTATTCTTGCTGATTAATTACATGATTATTTTCAGAACATCATAAATGAGATTGCACAATATTTTAGATCGTCCTGTGATACTCTTAATACTTCATGTAAAGAAATAGGGAAACCAGGAGTGTGCACACTTTCCCATGGTGCACCTGAGTTTAACATTAAAAGAGTCTTGGAAATCGATGTATTCAATAAAATATCCGAATGCCAGCCTATTTCAGAACAGGTACTCCCACAGTGCCAGCCATTTCTGATGATTTTTACTGATTTTTCAAGACCCACAGAATATTGTGTACTATGACTATCTGAAATCCAACACCAGATTCTAAAAGAATGGACTGTCTACTTTCCTCAGCAAAAAGAATTTTGTTTATAGCTTTTTTCGTTCCCCTGTAATCCTCCGTCGAGTAGAGGGAAGTTTTATTGAAATCACCAGAAATCACCAGAAAGTTGAGAAAAAAGAGGTACAACATGTGCACCTACATGTTTTCAAACCATTCAGAGAGAAATGCTGCCACCTGCTGGCTCGATAAAATATGGCCTCAAGTCATCCCCATACATATTAGATACAATAGACATCTGGGAACGTGAAAATAGCGAAAAAGCTATTGACGTGCCATTGACGTATTAATGCGTCAATGGCACACGACGTTACTATTTGCTTTGACGTATTTGTGCGTCAATGGGACACAATGAGTTAAGAAATTCAAAAGCTCTGGATATATTTGGAATAGATACGGATCTAGTGAAGCCCTTTAAACTGTGTCTGTTAAAAGCCCTCACACATATCATTAATGTATGGATTACACAGGCAGCTGTTGCACTGAAGTGGAAGAGGCCCAACATTACACCTATCCATAAATCAGGTGAAAAAACACACCCTGCTAACTATCGGCCAATCAGCATTCTGCCTACTACAGAACATCTTCACACTGTATAGGCCTACACCCTGTAACACTGCATAGGCCTACACCCCGTAACACTGCATAGGCCTACACCCTGTAACACTGCATAGGTCTACACCCTGTAACACTGCATAGGCCTACACCCCGTAACACTGCATAGGCCTACACCCTGTAACACTGCATAGGCCTACACCCTGTAACACTGCATAGGCCTACACCCCGTAACACTGCATAGGCCTACACCCTGTAACACTGCATAGGCCTACACCCCATAACACTGCATAGGCCTACACCCCGTAACACTGCATAGGCCTACACCCTGTAACACTGCATAGGCCTACACCCTGTAACACTGCATAGGCCTACACCCTGTAACACTGCATAGGCCCACACCCTGTAACACTGCATAGGCCTACACCCCGTAACACTGCATAGGCCTACACCCTGTAACACTGCATAGGCCTACACCCCGTAACACTGCATAGGCCTACACCCCGTAACACTGGCGTAACACTGGCATAGGCCTACACCCCGTAACACTGGCGTAACACTGCAAAAGGCCTACACCCCGTAACACTGGCATAGGCCTACACCCCGTAACACTGCATAGGCCTACACCCCACGCAATCACAGGAAGTTGGCTGCTCCTTCAACACAGACACGGCCTCGATCCTTCAGCAGGGACTTCAGGCAAAGTGGGTTTAAGTGTCTTGCTCAGGGACACAACGACAGAAGACATCAGTGGGAGCAGATGACATGGGTCGTGGTGGGATCGAACCCACGACCATTAGGTCCACAGACTGACGCTCTACCAAGGCTATGGAGCTACAATGTCTCTCAGTTCAAGGACATGAGAGGACACTGTAGTATCTACAGATGATGGTGTTGAACTTTAACAGTTTATATTGTATTTTTTCTTTGATCCCATCATGAAACCTTCTACACTGATTCCCACTGATGTCTGCTGTCGTTGTGTCCTTGGGCAAGACACTTAACCCCACTTTGCCTGAAGCCCCCACAGAGCAGCCTCCTGTGGACCCACCACCTGCAGGAGGATCAGAGAGGGGCTGGTGCCCAGAAATGGATTAATGGGAAGAAAATGGATGGATAAATATTGTATTTTTGTGTCTAAAAAAAGAAGAACCAAAAAACTTCAATAAATAGTAATGAATCCAAAAGCAGTCATTTCTTACCAAGAGCCTACACTGGCTGCAGATGTTGCTGCAGAGAAAGCATGAAAATGTGAACTTTTTGTGATATGAAAGAAAATAGTCTCTGCTTCTTTGTTCCCGATGTTTGAACTGGTCAAATATATTATTATTCAGAGGTGGCAAGTAACTGTATTATTAGTTTCAAATGCAGATCGCTGCTAGAAAGCCAGAAACACATTTTCTGTGGAGACAGACGACCACAGAGTTCATTCATTATAGTTGAAATGTTTAAAGTAAAAGGAATCACCGAGACAGAGACAGAGTCACAGCGGGGCGTGTGAAGAGTGTCGTCAGTGTCCGCTCCATCTCGAAGGTCACGAGAAGCAGTTACACACAGCATCCTGGGAAAAAAATGTTAGAAATGATTATTCAGAGGAGAATATTTACATGACCTCCACCAGGGTTTCTATGTCTGTCTACACTGCAAACAGTTGTGTATCTTAATTTGGGCACATTTTGACTGAATTATAATGAGATTCTCCAATGGGACAAAGCAAAATGATCTTGTTTTGAAAAGATACAGAAATGTCTTCCTTGGAAAGAGAAAATAAAATAACAGTTCTAGAAATAAAACTAAATGTCTTTGTCCCGTTGGAGAATCTTGTTTTAAGTCAGAATGTAGAATAAAAACTTGATTCAAGCGATTATTTTGCAGTGTGTGTCTATGTTAGAGTATTTTACATTTGTCATTGTATCCAGCAGAACGATACATTGATGCAAAACACTTTTCTCAAGTTTCACTCAAAGCAAACTGAAGTCAATAGAGTTTGGTCGACAGAAACACAGTGTTCTCAACCATCTCCAGTCTTCCTCTGTCTCCACCAATCAGGGCAGAAATCTAGGCTCAATAATGGATACAGATACTACAGTAACTTCAACCACTTTCTATGATCTGAAATACATTTGCAGAATAAAAAATATAGTGTTTAAAGCAGACCTGGAGATTCGTATCCATGTGTTTCAGTATTTATTTCAAATATAACAAGGTTCAGAAGTTCAATTGGGAAAATACAGTTTGAAAAGAGTTGTTTGATTTTCTGATCTGTGTTGGAGAATCGACAGCTTTGTAAAGTCCTCCCTCATCAGTCCTCATCAGTCCTCATCAGTCCTCATCAGTCCTCATCAGTCCTCATCAGTCCACATCAGTCCTCATCTGTACCACAGGCGCCCCATCACACTGTCCATCCTCCACCAGCCCAGCGTCTATTGGCATCCCCGTAAGCACTTGCAAAACTCCCTGGTGGTGGCAGCAGCTGAGCATTTATAAATAGTGTTGCCTTTATAAATAGTGTTGCCTTTATAAATAGTGTTGCCTTTATATATGAATGAATGAATGAATGGTTTTTTATTATTGTGTCTTGCATACACACTGTATGCCCAGCCCTAATGGGCTTATAATACACCAATAACACCAACAAAAGCACCAGATGCCAGACAATAGGCACACTATACAATACATAAACTTATTTAAACAAACAAGTCTGCCGCCTCAACCAGGCTTTACAAACAAAAGAAGCCAATTTAAACACATTAGAAGTAAACAACCATTTCATCTTGTCGTCATCACTGATCCAGAACATTTCAGGCTTTTGAACAAACAATTCACCAAACAATACATTTCTAAGATCATCGTACTGTGGACAATATAACACAAAATGAGTTTCACTTTCAATCTCTCCTAACTCACACAGTCTACAGAGTCTGTCCTCTTCAGGAGCTTGAGTGAACCTGCCAGTTTCTATGGCCAGGGGAAGGATGCCAGTTCGCAGCTGAGCCATCAAAGATCTTTGGTTCCTTGTCAGGTTTGCCTTTACATACAACTCAGTTTCAAATACATCTTTAATTTGTAAGTAAGTCCTTAGCTTTGGCTTTGCCATGATCCCAGTCAACCATTTGTGTTCAAAGTTTGACATTAAAATTGATCTGATGGTTTTAACGTCCCACCGGGAGGAGGCCCCGCGGAAGACCCAGGACACGCTGGAGAGACTATGTCTCTCAGCTGGCCTGGGAACGCCTTGGGGTCCCCCCGGACGAGCTGGAGGAAGTGTGTGTTGATAGGGAAGTCTGGGCGTCTCTGCTTAGACTGCTGCCCCCGCGACCCGGCAACGGATAAAGCGGAAGAAAATGGATGGATGGATGGATGGGTTTTAACACTACAGGACAAATTATTCTGGAATACATACTGGAGTTGTGCATCAGCAAAGACAGTCCGGAGCTCTGCAGCCCAAGGACACTTATTTTTACTCCATAGAAAGACTTTTTTTGTTACTCTATTTTCAGACAGGTTAATGAGTCGATTCCACAGTCTCACCATTTCACATTTCCTTTGGATTGATCCAGGAACCCAGCCCATATCGCCCTGCGCTGCCAGCACGGGGACAAACTTATGAACTCCCAAGAAGCAGCGGATTGCAAGGTTTTCTACAGCGTCTAAGGCTGGGCTCTGCACGGCCCCCCACACACCAGCAGCATAGTTTAGCACAGGCGACACACAGGCGGCATACAACTGAGAGAATGTTCCATAACCAAGATCTTTACAGACTTTTAACTTGTTTATCACAGAACCCAGGGCTCTACTAGCTGAAGCAGCTAGGATTTTAACTCCTCTGTCAAATGTCATAAATTCATCAAATACGAATCCTAGATACTTATACTGGGCTGCATACTCAAGAATGGTATTGCCAAAAGTAAAAACGTTTGTGCTTCATGAAATAAATCTTTTCCTAAAGTGCATAATTTGTGTTTTTGTTTGATTTATAACAAGTCTCCATCTACAGCACCAATTGTGTAAAACATTTAACATTTTCTGTAGATCCTCTTCAGTTTCAGCCAGTAGTGCTACATCATCAGCGTAGAGCAGAATGCCCACAGTCACACTGTCTAGGTGCACGCCTAAGTTCAGATGTTTCATTTCAAGAGCCAAATCATTTATGAACAGAGAGAACAGGCATGGGGACAGAATATCCCCCTGTTTTACCCCAAAGGGGATACAGAACCACTCAGTCTGCTCATCATTCACCTGCACACATCCCACACAGTCTGCATACAGGGACTTTAACGCCCAGTAGAACTTCCCATCAACCCCGGCCTGGAGAAGCTTCAAACTTAACAGATCTCTATTCACCCAGTCGAAGGCCTTTTTAAAGTCCACAAAACAGACATAAGTCGGTTTGTTTTCAATTGATCTAGTTCGGACTACTGCTGATACCGAATAAATATGATCAATACATGCCCTGTGTTTTCTAAATCCATTTTGTTCATCTACTAGATACTCTGTTGTTTCCAAAAAATAACTTAATCTAGCATTTAAAATACTAGAGTAAATTTTGTAGACAGTACTGAGGAGGCTAATTCCCCTGTAGTTGAGAGGTATGCGTGGGTCATCTTTCGGTGATTTGGGAATAGGTTTAATGATTGATTTATACCACGTAGAGGGAACAATACCGTTGTCAAAACAAAATTTAAATAAACCAAGAAGCATATGCCTAAGATGTGGAGACTTTAACACCTCGTTTGGAATTTCCTCCACTCCCATAGCCTTCCTCAGTTTGGCCTTATTGAGAGCATCGCTCACTTCTTCCAAAGTAATATCAAAATTCATATATATATTTGATCGGCTATTATCACCCAAAATTAATTCAAGATTTTCTTTTACTTGAACTGAGAGAACACCAAAAGCAGGGTCAAAGTCTTCAATATTAGTCAGACCTGAATATAAATTTGAGAAATCAAGTTCCCATTTTTCAACAACTCGCTCTTTTCTCAACTCCACTGCACCGTTTTCCATAATAACTTCCATGGGAATTGTCTTAATTCTTTGTGGTCCCAATCTATTAATCTCTTTCCAAAATTGTTGTGGATTGCTTGTTTGTAAATGGTCAAGTTTTAATGCTTGACCCCTATTAAACCTTCTTTTATAAAATCTTACAAATTTGTCAAAAAGGGACTGTTTCTGCTTATAATTTTCCCTCAGATCTTGTTTATTTTGAGGCACTTTACACTTGAGAAACTCTCTCTCTGCTATTGTTCGCTCATCCCATAACTTTTGAAGATGGGCGTTCCAAAAAGGCTTTACACCCTTTTTAAAATGATGTTTTTTATTAAATTTGCAATTTTGACCTGAATTTATTTCACCTCTAATAAATTTACAAAAATCCTCATACCATTTATCAACATCCTCCTGAGTATTGTGGCACAGCCCTAATTTATTTTCTAGTTCTTGCACTGCCCTTCGGCAGCTAGTAGATGTTAGGAATGTCTCAGGGAATGGTGTATGTTTCCTTTTAATTACACAGGGGGGGTTATTTCCAGAAGTTAGTTGGGTATCCACTTTAAAAATAAACTGGATTAAAGAATGGTCCGGTAAATGACATCGATCTCCAATAAGAGGCAAACATTCTACGGCATTTTTGTTAAGGAGGTCTGTGGCAGTGATCACTTTAACCTCAACACAAAATTCTAGACAGGTATGAGGCGTCACAACATAATCTACAACAGCTTTGCCTCGAACTGAAACAGAGGTGAAATTATCATCATTTACATTAAGCCTGCCGTTTAAAATACAACACTTTGAGTCTCTCAAAAAATCAAGAAAAGAGTCACCATGACTATTACAAGTTAGATCTATCGCCACTCTTGGTGGAATATTGTCCAAGCCTTCAATGCAGTCCGCTTTATCAGCGATACGACAATTAAAGTCGCCACAGATGTAAATCGCATCCACATCTAGACTGTAAATTTTAGTCAGTAAACGAGCAAAGAACTCTTCACAGTCTCTCCCTCTAACAGATCCCTCCGGGGACAGATAACAAGAAAACACCACAAAATTATAACTCGTACTCCGGTGTTCAAAGTGCACTCCTATAATGTCATCTGCGGACTTATCCACCCCCTTGATTTTAAAGTGTTCAAAAAGTTCGTTTCTAAACAAAAATCCAACTCCACCGGAGCCTTTTGGTGCTTTTATGTGTCTTTTTCTGTTATTTCCGAACCAGCTGTAACCGTTTAGCTCAACAACATCTTCAGCCACCAAATGCGTTTCGTTAAGGGAAATAATATCGGGGTTTAGGGACTGTAGCATTAAAAGCCCTAAGTGTACAGTTTGCTTTTGTCCAGCCATTTACGTTCCAGTGCACTAAAGACAAACAAGATGAATCGTTTCTTACTGAATTGACTACGTTTCCTCAGCGTCTCCGTGCCTGGCCGCCTCCTCTGCTACCTGCAGGAGCGGACGCTAGCAGCGGGGGCGCGCGCTCCTCGGTCACCGCGCCGGAGAACCCTTCCATTCCCCGACACGAAATAGTCGGATCCATTTGGTAGATTATGCAGAAGCACTTTGAAGTTTTCTTCCATTACGCGCTCCGTATGCGATTTTGCAGATCTAAAGACTTTCTTAAACTTGTCCTGGGATTTCAAGTTCGTTTTGCCCCGGAGCACAGCCACTTTCTCCTTAGCCGATGCAAACGCCACCTTCACCACGCCGGGGCCTGGTCCTCGTGCGCGTAGCCTCTCCAGAGCAACCAGCGTCACCCCGTCATCACAAGCACAGCCTTCCTCAATCACTTCCTTAATCTTAGCAGCCAGGTTTTCATCTTCATCATAAGACAAACCCATAAGCACAATAGAAACATCTGGGTCAAATGTATTTGAGGGGCGGCTATGATGCGACTTTATCTTCTCCTCCAACTGTGACATTCTGGATTTGAGTCCGCCCATTTCCAAGTCAAAGTCGTCTTTTATTTTCTTCAGTTCTTGTTTCAGTGTCCTCTCTAACGAAATTCCAAGCGCATCTACCTTGGAAATCAGCTTTTCTTCAATATTGTCAATTTTGGTATTCACCAATCTGACCTCCTTCAGTAGCGTGCTGGTGTCATCCTCTTTTTCTGCAACTTGACTGCGAGTAACTTTTTTCTCAGCCATTTCAAACGTTTTGTGGATCAAAACTAGTGCAGATAAACATCCAAGGTTAAAACCCACCAAGCTTGAGGCATATATTTCACGTTTAGGCCACGAATTTGATCAAAAAGACAGAAATGTTTGGCAGAGCGTATCAGTGACACGCAGCAGGTGACACAGATCTGAACAGGCAGTGTCTTCTTACTGCTTGGTGTGTGTGTCTTCTTCATATATAGCGGTGCACGTTCGTCTGTCCCTTGCTAACCAGGCCTGCAAAACTCCATCAAACGCACAGCCTTTTGGGGATTGTGCGCGCACTCTCGCAGGAGCCTCGCTGACTGAACGCCGCACCGGGGCCTAGGGCGTCAATCTACCTTTCAATAAAAAACTTCAAATGCATTTTGTCTCCTCAAAGTCTCTCCAGATTGAAATGCAGCATCGCGGAAATTCAATTCTGGAAGACGTCAGCCAAAGCCACCCCTTCCAGGCCGGCCTCGCATCCCCAGCCTATCGCACAGCAAACGCCCATTTCCAACCAACCTATGCCGGCCAGGCCAGCCGCTTAAAAGCGGAGAAACTCCCACTTTACGGCCTTCTCGAAGCCTTGCAAACCACCGCCTCCCCTCCTCCTCCTTTTTCTCACCCTGCCTCAATCATGCCTCTTCCTGCTGCCCAAATGCCGCCACCAGTGCCTAGGTCCCGGGGGATTGTGCGCGCACTCTCGCAGGAGCCTCGCTGACTGAACTCCGCACCGGGGCCTAGGGCGCCAAACTACCTTTCAATAAAAAACTTAAAATGCATTTTGTCTCCTCAAAGTCTCTCCAGATTGAAATGTATTTGAAAAACTGACCGCCATAAAAATGTTCATATTAACCATTTGTCTTACTGTGTTCACAGTTTTATTCCTGAGAATGTAGAATAGACATAGAGAAAAATCCCACTGACAATAAGCCACTGATAATGAAAGTAAACTACAGAGAGATTTATTAGATTAAAATGTATGTTTTAGAATATGGCTTGATAAAAGCAAATATGCAAACATATTTGTAAATAGATTAAAAAGTACACAGTGTAAGATTGAATAGTGAAAACAATACAGTGAATTAAGTGAAGTGTAAACAATTAGCATTAGAATAAAAGTATAGAGTAAGAAAAGTGAAATTAGCTTCTAATTTGAGACTCAGCTAGTTTTTGTCTGTGTTTTGACTGAATCTGCTGAGTTCTTGTGTGTCCAATAGTGTTTGTTTGTTTTTATTTTTATTTTTGTTTTTTGTTTATTTATTTACGTTTATTTTTGTTTTGTTTTTTTCCCAGGATAAAGGATAAAATCCACCAATATTGATTTGATGATTATGAGTTTAATGCATACATTTTCTTTATTCCAGGGCGTTCGAGTGGCTGGTTCCGGGGGTCATGGCACGGAGGAGGCGCTTCAATCAGAGGTGGCCTCTCTTCTGAGGAGAAGCGCTGCAGTCTAGGTCGACCCGCACGACGCCTTCAGGGGTCTCTACTCCCCGTGTTTCTTGGTGCCCAAGAAATCAGGGGGGATGCGCCCTATTCTGGATCTGCACACACTGAACCAGAGCATTTCCAGGCGGCCCTTCCGCATGCTCTCCACGAAGCAGCTTCTGGAGTGCGTCAGGCCCGGAGATTGGATGTCTGCCATAGATCTGATAGACGCCTACTTCCACGTCGCGATAGTGCCGGAACACAGACGCTTCCTGCACTTCGCGGTGAGGGGGAAATTCTACGAGTATTGCCGACTCCCGTTCGGATACGCTCTGGCCCAGCGCACCTTCTCCAAGTGCGTAGAGGCAGCGCTGGAGCCGCTCAGACGCACGGGGGTCAGGATCTTAACCTACATACTGTAGACGATTGGTTAATCCTGGCCGCGTCCAGGGAGATGGCCGCGGACCACACCCACTGGGTTCTGTCTCACATACAACGTCTGAGTTTATGTTGTAGTGGATGATTTGAATCGAAGGTCAAGTACTGGTCAGTGTGAGTGGACTTTCTGAAGACCTATATCTTCAGAAAGTCTGAGTCAAACGGCAAAGCATTTGACTTACCCATCAGCTTACATTCTCACCCTCACCTACGTTAATGTGTTGTAATGTTGTAATGACGATCGCTTTGCTCATGTTTGGAAAATGTACCACACCCTTTAATAGTCACAACAATAAAAACTAATCTGAATATAAATGAATTCTAAGCTTTTAAAAACTGGTTTTACAGGACAGGGCTTTTGACATTATAAATGTCTTTTGTTGAATATAAAACCATGTGCTTTTAAAGTACATGGTGTTATCTTGGAAGATCTATGGAGATTGGAAACTGTGTCTCTGACCTGTAGTGTACCACAGGGGTCGATCCTGGGACCTCTTCTGTTCAATCTCTACATGCTGCCGTTAGGTCAGTTAATACGCAGAAACAAAGTTTCCTATCATAACTATGCAGACGACACTTAGATCTATGTCTCACTGACTGCAGGAGAACATGGACCAGTGGACTCACTCCTTCACTGTATCCAACAGATCAGTGAGTGGATGCAAAACAACTTCCTTCAGCTAAACGCAGACAAAACTGAAATGATTGTCTTTGGTCCCCAGAAACAAAGAGAGAGCGTCATCTGACACCTGCAATCTCTCTCCCTAAAACCTTCAAACAAGGTCAGAAATCTAGGGGTAATACTGGACTCAGACTTAAATTTTAATAGCCACATTAAATCAGTAACATCAGCAGCTTTTTAGCATCTAAAAAACATTGCCAGGATCAAAAACATAGTGTCTAAAGCAGACCTGGAGATTCTTATCCATGCATTTATCTCCAGTAGGTTAGACTACTGCAATGGCCTGCTCACAGGTCTGTCCAAACAGGCTGTAAAACAGCTGCAGTACATTCAAAATGCAGCAGCTCGGGTCCTGACTAGAACCAGGAAGTACGACCACATTAGTCCAGTCCTCAGGTCTCTGCACTGGCTTCCTGTGGCTCAGAGAATAGACTTTAAAACAGCTTTGCTTGTGTACAAGTCTCTCCATGGCCTCGCACCAAAATATATTAGTGACATGTTAGTCCCATACGAACCAGCCCGGACTCTGAGGAGCACAGGGACTGGACTCCTGTTAGTGCCCAGAGTCAGAACTAAACATGGGGAGGCTGCTTCTCAGATTCATGCTGCTAAAATCTGGAACAGTCTTCCTGAAGATGTGAGACAGGCCTCCTCTCTGACAATGTTTAAAACCAGGTTAAAAACGGTTCTGTTTAGCTGTGCATACAACTGAGGGATTTTATATTTTTATCTTTCTTTTTAATGTTCTGTGATTATTTATGATTTTAATGCTTTCTTGTTTTGTTCAGCACTTAGAGTTGCCTTGTGTATGAATTGTGCTATACAAATAAACTTTCCTTGCCTTGCCTTGTTTTTGAATATTATTTTTATTTATTTTTTTCCCTTTATTGATTGATCAAAGGGGTGAGTGTTAGTATTAGATAGCAATATGGCCTACGTGCAGGACTGTACAAGGACTCTGATTATTTTGACTATGATGTGACTGTCTCTGTGTGACACGTACGTCTTTCCATGTGTGACGTGACAATGACTATATAAACTGTGTACTGCCTTTATTCTGTCTGAGAGAAGGAAACAATGGAAACCACTGGAACTTGAGAGAAACTTAAATAAACTTCCAGAGTTTGGCGCACCAAGATCCGTCTCTGTCTGCTTAATTCCTGACAAGGACAATGATCCAAAACATAAAGCCAAATCTACAATGGAATGGTTCACAAATAGACGTATCCAGGTGTTAGAACGGCCAAGTCAAAGTCCAGACCTGAATCCAATCGAGAATCTGTGGAAAGAGCTGAAGACTGCTGTTCACAAACGCTCTCCATCCAACCTCACTGAGCTCGAGCTGTTTTGCAAGGAAGAATGGGAAAGAATTCCAGTCGCTCGATGTGCAAAACTGATAGAGATATCCCAAGTGATTTGCAGCTGTAATTGCAGCAAAAGGTGGCGCTACAAAGTATTAGCGCAAGGGGGCCGAATAATATTGCACGCCCCATTTTTCAGTTTTTTATTTGTTAAAAAAGTTCAAATTATCCAATAAATTTTGTTCCACTTCACGATTGTGTCCCACTTGTTGTTGATTCTTGACAATTTATTTTATTTTTATATCTTTATGTTTGAAGCCTGAAATGTGGCAAAATGTTGAAAGGTTCAAGGGGGCCGAATACTTTAAGTACACTGTAAGTATAAATAGTGTTACATATTCAAGTATCCTCAAGGTCAAGCAGATTTAAAGAGTCAAAATACATAAGAAAAGGGTCCCATGTAGCATGAAATAATCTGTTGGAGCCTCAAAGAGAAAACCTCAGTTTTTCTACTTAGGATTGGGAACAACCAGAGAACCATATGCATCCGTCAGTGATCTAAAAATCCCTCTCCAGAATTGATTTACTTAATGGTGTCTTCTAAATGTCTAGGCAGTGTGTGTTGTTGGATACAATGTGCACTCGACCGTCCCCCGCAGAGCTCAGCCGGCTGTGGCCCAGACGTGTTTCGGACACGGTTTACTATGGCAACTCCACAATGCGAATACTCAAACTGTTACTTTCTGTGTTAATATAGTGCAGAACTTCATATGAAATTAGTCAAAAGTTGTTAAAAGCTCTGACGATGTAAATATAATTGTGTTTGCAAATTCTTTTACATTTCTTACGTGTGTGTGTGTGGCTCTCATGTCAGGAAAAAAAGGAGAGTACAAGTATAGAAGGAAACAAAAAAAGGGAGATTGTGGTTA